GTTACAGGTAGAGACACAGCCCTTATAGAGTCAGGATATTAATCTCACTGCCAGTCTGGGACAGACAGAGAGCTGTAAAGGAGCCCCAGTCTCACAGACATCTCTGTTAAAAGTACCGACACACATGAGGACTCTGCACTCTATAAGGACTACAAGAACACACACATGATCTGGGAGCCGAGTCCTGAGAAGCCGAGGCGGCCAACAGTGGGAAGGGAGCTGGAACGGAACCACAACATAACTAAACGGCCCCGTGCGCGAGCAGTGGCCGCGGGCATCAACGCAGGTGAGACTCAGGTCAAGCACGCGGCTCGCCCAAGAGCCACCCAGGCCGTCGCCAGCCCCGGGGGCGCAAGGGGGCTCAGGGCGGGGGCCAGGGGGCAGGTGTGGGGGCGTACCTTGCTAGCCTTTCCTTATCAGCGCAATTCTGCTCATCGTCTGACCTGGAAACAAAACCAGCGCACTAAGACCGGACCGAACAGAACCAGAAACGAGGCGGCGAAACTGCGGCGTCACTGGAGTCACAAAGCCCGTTTTGTGCAGTGGAGCTCCGTGGAGTTAAAGGAAGGAGGGGAATTCATATCCGTTCTCCCCTTTCGGCAAAGCTTCGGACTGGTGGAGCGATCACACCCATGATGCAGCTGCAATTTGAACAGGAAGTCGTGAACATTAAAAAAAAAAGAGAGAGAAATTCCTCCGGGAAAGAGAGCAGGGAAGGGCTGCTATCCTCGACGGAGCAAAGCAAAACGGGATTTGCCTGGCAAGTGACGCCACACTTTCGGGAAAAACAAAAACGCCGAGAGTCGGGCACAAAGTGAAACAGGACAGAGGGATCGCCGGACACGCAGGACAGCAGCAGCCAGGCCGGCCAGCTCTGCAGGACGCTAGCAGCCGAGCAGGCAGGACAGTGCAGGCCGAGCGCATGCCCAGAGCAGCACCACGAGGGAACAGAGGCTGGGAGAGAACAGCGCCCCCTGGCGGTCTGGGAGACCACGACAAGGCAGGATAACAACACTGGCGAGCATGCTCCAGACAGCAGCTGAGCAGGACTCCAGACACACGCTGCATCGCAGACTGGGCCACCCCAGGGCTCATCTCTTTGCAAACAGTGCTCCAGTCGGTCACTCAGTGCTCCAGTCAGTCAGTCAGTCAGTCAGTGCGTCACTCAGTGCTCCAGTAGGTCAGTCAGTCAGTGCGTCACCCAGTGCTCCAGTCGGTCAGTCAGTCAGTGCTTCACTCAGTACTCCAGTTGGTCAGTCGGCCAGTGTGTCACTCAGTGCTCCAGTCGGTCAGTCGGCCAGTGTGTCACTCAGTGCTCTAGTCAGTCAGTCAGTGCGTCAGTAAACTCTGAAGTGGCTCGGACTGCTCTGCAGCTCTAGGAGTCTGATGCCTTTCAATCGTAAGAATACAGAGACGCAGAACGACAGGGCACTCTGTGACAAACGGAAAACCAGAGAAAGACATTCCAGGAGGGCCTGTTCCTGATCCAAAGAGCAACAGGCTGGCTGACCCAACCCGGCGCCGCCAGCAGGGGAGGCGCAGAGAGGGGGAGCCCCCGGCCCCCCGGGGCCCCGCGCGCTGGGACGCGCTCCCGCCTGTCGGCCGGCTGCTCTTCGTGTCCCGGAGCGGAAGGAAGCGCTCAGGCTGCGGACAGCGTGCATCCCGACAGGGGAGACTCCTCCGGCTTACCTGGCAAAGCGCTCCTTGTCGTTGGAGCCTCCCTGGTCATCATCACACCTGCAGAGGGGGAGAGAGGGGGAAGGAGAGGAGAGAGGTACGAGAGAGGCAAAGGAGGGGAGAGAGGGAGAGGAGGAAGAAAGAAAGAGAGAAGAGAGAAGAGAAAGGCGAGAGACAAGAGAAGGAGGAGGAGCAGGATGCAAGCGAGACAGAGGGAGAAGAGAGAGGAGCAGCCAGGAGAAAGGGAGAATGAGCAGGGGGAAGGAGGAGAAAGGAGAGTGCACTGATTACTCCCTCACCAGTCCCCTGGTACTGCTGCTAACAGGGCACAACCACAGAGACCAGCACAGGCGTCCCGCATCCGCACCGAACAGAAACGGCGACAGCAGCGGACACAAACACAGCTCTGCCAGCACGCTCACGCACTCTCACACCCCCCCTCCTCCGCCTCGCGGCGCCACCCAGCAGGCCGAGGGGCGGCCCTCCAGCCCCAGCGCCGGCGACCTCGCTGCCCGGAGAGGTGCCCACCTGAAGAGCTTGCCGCCGCCGCCGCCGCTGTCGTCGTCCTCATCGAAGTCAGGTCTGTGCGGAGAGACAGCGAGAGTCAGGGCCCGGCTCGCGGGACGGGGGGGGCACCAAACCGCAGCCCACCGGGCCGCATCGGAACACAAAGGGCGAGACCGCGCCGCACTTGAAATGGAAACCGGACCTGCCCCGAGCAGCGCAAGGCCTGGATCTGAACGATGAAAACGGCTCTTCCCGGCCGGTGACACTCCCCCGCAGACAGCAGGACACAACACCCTCCTGACCTGCTTGCGAGCCGTCGGGCTGATTATTCCCTCAGAACCCCTCAACACGCCCTTCACACTCCTGGGGCAGACAGTTCATCAGGTCCGCATGGACTTCCAGCACCTTCTACTGCTTCCAACTGCTCTGTTTTGAATTGTGCCACCAGCCTCGCCTCTGTGGCCAGCAGCTACATCACCCTGCAGCTCCCAGGCCAGTACCTGGAGGGGAGACTCCTGGGATAGCTGAGGCTGCTGCTGGAAGAGGTATTAAAGAGACCAGCAGGGGGCGCTCACCCTGCGGTCCGTGTGGGTCCTAATGCCCCAGTATAGTGACAGGGAGACTATACTGTAAAAAGGCTCAGTTTTTCAGATGAGACGTAAAACCGAGGTCGTGACTCTCTGTGGTCATTAAAAATCCCAGGGCGTTTCTTGAGAAGAGTAGGGGTGTTACCCCAGTGTCCTGGCCAGATCTCCCCCTGGCCTTTACCAGTCAGGGCCTCCTAATAACCCCCCTCTCTGAACTGGCTCCATCACTCTGAGAGCTGGTGTGTGGGGAGAGTACTGGAGCACTCTGGCTGCAGCCACATCATCCAGGTGGGGCTGCACACTGGAGCTGGTGGGGGGGATCCCCATTACCTGTAAAGCGCTTTGAGTGGAGTGTCCAGGAAAGCGCTATATAAGTGTCAATTATTATCATCGTCTTCTTTCAAATGATTTTGCTTTCTTACTATAAAGGGCTTTGAGAAGCTGCTTTGAAAGGCACTATATAAAAGAAGGCAGCACATCGCCCCTGTACTCACACAGCGCGTCTCTTGGTGGCCCCTCTCTGCACCATGGTGCCCGCGGCAGCCCCGCCCAGGCCTGGGTTACCAGGGGCCCCACCCGCACTCAGCCCGGACACCTCCGACGCCATGTCTGGGAGAGAGGGAGAGAGAAGGAGGGTCACACAGTGTCAGTCTCCGGCCACAGCGAGACCGCAGAGCGCCCAGACATCGGTGCCTGAGGAAACGGGCCACGCTCCCAGTGCACAGCAGTCTGATCCACTCCAGGT